CTGTGGGAGGACTTATGTTGATTGGTTCACTCTAATCCAAAACCTCGATGGTGGAAAGCGACAGCCACGTGAAGGTAGGATGAGGGCACTCAATCGAAGGGTGAACTGCAAGTGTGATGGGTCAACTCCAGTGTGAATAGAAAGTGGATCAGGAGGCCATGTCATCCTGTAAGGGGATGGCTCAACTCCAGCTGATGTGTAAAAGGATGTGGAAGGCAACATCATCTCGCAAGTTGATGGCTCTACTCCACTGGTTTTGTAAATATTAGCAGGAGGCCATGGCTCAACTCCCGCAAGTGTAATAGGGATAAGGAAGCCATGACAACCAGAAGGTGATGGTTCAACTACATTGGTTGTGTAAATGGTAGTTGGAAGCCACATCATCCCAGAATGAGATGGTTCAACTCCAGTGTTGGTGTGTAACATGATCAGGAGGCCACATCAACCAGCAAGGCAATGGCTCAATTCCTCTAGAGGCCACATCACATCTACACAAGTAGAACACCATCCTACTCTCAACTGAATGGTCTGTGGAACTTATTCAGGAGGGTGCCTCCATGGTACACCACCTCAACAGCTTGAAACTAAAGTCTGGAGAATGGCCACAGGTGATAGACAAAACCCCGAAGCAGAGGAAAGCATGATATGATGGAGATAGTGGGAGATGAATGTATTGGGAGTGGTCCACATGTTGGATTGGAGAATCTCCTCCGATGGTATGCATAGAGGTATATGTGTGACCAATCCTGTCTGAAAGCATTGACCACCAAGGCATGTGGATGTGGTACAGGTGACCAAGAGAGGTGCAACTTGGAATTGAGGCTTGTGGCAATAGCATCTAATTGGGGAGAACCCAAATGATGGCAAAGGTCCCTGAAAATGAGGGGATCCAATACCCATTCCATAGGATAGATCCGGTCTGGTCATGACAGATGATCTGCAAAGAAATTGAAAGCACCAGGCACATGATATGTGATAAGATGAATGTGACATGCAGAGGCTCAGTATAAGAGCTCTAACATCTGAAAACAGAGGTTTCTGGATCGTGTGCCACCACCGTAGAGTTGTCTGAATGAAACATCACCAGGCAATGAAGGATGAGAAGAAGGAAGTGATGTAAAGCCCAACATACTGCTAGAAGTTCAAGATATGCAAGACATGCATCTGCAGACCAACAGCCCGAAGCTACCTGGTGATTGATCCATGCCCCACAACATAGGGGAGGAAGTGACACTTCCATCGACGTATGAGCTTTTTCCAGCCACCAGTGCAAATCGTCTTGCAGAGAAGGAGGAAGAGAGATGATGGTGGTAAGAGAATCTTGAGCAAGATTCCATCAGTTATGAAGCACCTATTGCAGGGATCTCATGTGGGCATGACCAAGAAGAATAAGTGCAGTCATGGAGGACAACATCTCCAAAATCAACAGAACCTCATGAGCAGTAAGTGACCAAGTCTAGAGGGCTTGGTGAACTAAAAGTTCCATGAACTGAAGAAGTAAAGGAGAAGGCATGGCATGAATGATATTTGTGTCAAAAAAATCCTAGATGGACCAGAAAGTGTGTGGGTCAAAGGAATAACTTCTCCAGTTTGATCAACCAGCCTGCTCAAGCTGAAAGGAGTTGGTGGGTATGATTTCAGATGTTGGCATGGCATGGGATCTGGAAGAAGAGGAAAGGAAACAGGGCAAGGAGAAAGAGGAGAAGAGGAAAGAAACTGGAGAGCAAATTCTTCTGACAGAACCCGTATCACCCATCGATCCTTGATGAATGGATGCCAGCGATGAAGTAAGTCCAACAGTCGAGCTCCTATTGCCCCCAAACCCACAGGGTAGTCATGAGTACTGTTGGTAACAGATGTTTGATCATCAAAGAAAAGAAGTACCCTGACTAGTAATAATGGGTAAGGGTTAGAAGGATGAAGGATGGGAGACAGGACGAGAGGGTGGATTGCTGAAGAGCTGATGTAACTCAAGGCTTGATAGTTTCTGGGACAGGACCAAAGACACACGTTGCAAAATCTACCTCCAAAACGTTAATTTCTTTATTTTATCATCTTTGCATTTTTCTATTTGTTTATTATTTTATACATGTCCTTTCTTCAATTCTTCCAAACATTAATTAAATGTTATTAAGATGTTAAACAAAGAACTCTTTTAACACTAATCTTCAATCTAAAAAAAAATAAATTTAACTGCCAATAATGCTCTCAACTCATATCATAAACTAAAAAAATATATAAAAGCCAATAATGCTCTCAACTCTTAATATAACTACGATCACCAATCTTGGAAACAAATTTAACTCTCTCCATATGGGCTTCACTTTTTTGACCAGCCTTCTACCACCATGTGACCATGAAACTTTGCAAGTTATTATTAGCCTATGCTGAAAATATATGTCTGATAGGTACTTACCTCCTCTCACAAGTATAGCTATCCTCATTCAGCACTGCCCTCAATATGCAAAAAGTTTTTCACATGCCACAAGCCTTTAGCTTCAACTGCGTCTCGCATATAAATCATCATGTGACAACTCTCCAACAATAGGAGTGTGACACATCCTCCTGATGCACTTCACTCCCTCTATTTGATTCTACCGAACTATCACTTTGAGATTAGGCAGAAACGATAAGCACCAGTTTTCAGTTGGAAGGAAGGGTGGGAAGTGTGTGTAGAGGTAAGTACCTATCGGAAATGTATTTTCATTATAGGAAAATAATAACTTCCGATAAGGTACATTACCTCCAATGACATGTATAGCTAGAATCCCCCATTAACTAGGCACAGAGACCAGTGTCAGGGATGGAAATAAGTATCCTTCGAAAGCATCTGAAGAACACCCATGAAGTGTGATCCCCATTAGGATAGGAACATATGTGGGACTCCACAACACTTCCGCACCAGGTATACTTGGCAACCAGTGTGGAAATAGGTGTCGCATACATGGGCAAAATATGGGAGAAGCACAACCAAAAGAGAGAGAAAAAAAAGATGGGTATGAATCCAAACCACAATATACCAGAATCTCAATCCTAGTGAAGAAAGACTGTAGAAGAACCATCTACAGACAAGAATATGTGGAAAGCTATAATAGATGTGCTCCAATGTGTAGAATGGCTAGAGTGCGACAGACAGTACGTGGCCAGTCAACTCAAACCCAATATTAAGCAGCATCGGGATTACTACCGACCCATAGTAGAAGGAGGGTCCACAATGTCTTCATCTCAAGTTGAGAAGAATGGAATTATATACATATCAAACCAACCTATTAACCCTACTGGCACGGGTACCCTTTACTGCGCATGACATGAGGTTTTAGTGTCTTACATTCAAAATTTTATTAAACTACTTTTTGTTTATGTTATACCAATAAAAATCTTAGCTAATAAGCCATATTTTAATAGTATACAAGTTTTAAGTTCTTAACTCTAAAAGGAAATATATAAAAATCCTGAATTTCCACTAGTGTAACACAAATGACAAATTTTGTCTTAGCATGTCATCATCCCTATTTTATCCATCACCCCTCGAAAATGTACGAAACTAAACGTAAAATGCTCTCTATAAAATCATTATTGCTCAAACAGACCATCATTTTTATGACCTTCAATTTTGTTTTGTTACAGAGCTATCAAAGAGAAAATCAGACCCCTCCTGCCAAACCCACCTGTCACATCCTCTCTTTCACAATTGGTTGACAGCTCTCTCTTACGTTTCATTATATATTATTTATAACCAATAGACAGTCAAGGTTTTCATCTATCAAATGGCGTATTGTATAACATTGTGTTCTGAACAGATAACCATTAATGTCACTCGGAGTAGCAATTTTGTTTCCGTGGGAAAGTTAACGACTAGCTTGGATGAATTTATAACGGCTCTTGTCTCCTAGTTAGAAAGCCAGAAAAATTTTTAGATGTAAGTGAATTTGTCTACTTTTTGCATATTATTAGTCTATATTCTTTGGTGTATTATTTAAGTAAATAATAAATTAAATGCTTTACCATAATCGCTAAAAAAAATAAGATTGGGTAAGTACTTTATTTCTTGTTTTTCATATTTATTCTTTATTCATTATTATAACAGTAACTAAAATTAAAAGTATGGATCTTCTTAAGTTATTTAAGATTAGAATAGATAAAATAAGTAATAATAATAATATAATTAAAGTTGTTCATGAAGCACGCACGTGAGCAGCTAGTTGGTAATGTAATTCAATAGCGTAACACGAGCTGCACGTTTCCCAAGTGATTTACAAATTATAATGGCACAGACAGCAGTTAGACACAGTTCAAAGGGCAATAAAACAATGAAATTTAATTACAAATAGATGTATAATGTTACGAACTTAGAGCTATTTAGGATAAACAAATGTAGTTTCAGGTTACAATCTGAAGTCCTAATAGAAAGAAAAGAAGGTTAATTTAGGTTTATTTCGATTTTTTTGGGGTGGTTACAAGTCAGTCGAATTGACCAATCCAGTTTTGAGATTGGGGTAGAGAAAATAACATATAAACTATGAGGATTTAG